CATTGGATAATGCAATTCGAGACTTTTTATTGACTTAGCCATTATGGTATATCAGCCAATATACCATAATCTAATATCCGTACATTGTAACATCCAGTTTCTTCTTACGAGTAAAGTCGAGAAGATTTGCCTAACATCTTGGGGGCGTTTTTTCTTAATAAAACAATTATTCCACTCGCGCTTGCTGGATATGAGATGATCATAGCCAACTCGGCGCCACGCGCCTCGTTGGCTATCTATCATCTCATATCCAACGCGCGCTCGTGGAATAATTGTTAATTAGACGTCTTGTTGTGTAATATCGCTGAGTATTTTCACGAATCGTGTCGCATTTTGACAAGCCTAAAATACTACATTCGAATGTGCTTAAAAAGGTGAAAGGACTCCTCTTTTAAAAATAACTAATTTAAATTGAAAAGATTGCAAACCCAATTCAAAGAAATTTGGCTTATGTTTGACAACTGACCGGGGTTTCTGAAAATATTAGCTCGCATGAGCTTTCAAACTAACAAAGCGTTTTCTTCTCTAAATCGGAGTCGAGTACTTTAAGTCTTTTGTACCTCTTTGTGGACTTTATCTCAGTTTCTGGAGTGGCCAAGGTCGGTGGATTAGTAAGGCTGCTGATAGAGATGTTGAATTGACCACCATGAATAACAGTACCGGTAAAGAACGAAATTGCTTGCTGGCCATGTTATTATTCTGCGGCCGAACTAGTTGAGTGAACTGCTGTCGAAGAACATTCAGAACCTTGAGACAATTTTTATTTCTCAATATCATGTGCTCTCCCTGTACTTAGCTCACTCAAAGTATGAGACATTTTTACTTGCTGTTTTTCAGGAAAAACTGAATAATTTGTCACGCTTTCAAAGCTTTTGTTTCCCGATAGTTGAATTATGTCCGTCACCGGGATATCGTTGTTTTTCAAAGCCTTAATGGAGCGTCGCTGTCGTTCATTTCTGTTGGTCGTTTCTTTGCGTATAATTTGTAGGCAGCAACGGGATCTTTTTCACTTCCAGGAAACGAAAACATTTTCTGTTTTATTTGTCTGACATCTCGGGATTTTCGCCAGTTCGGGTCTTAGTTTGTCTCTCCGAATACTCTAAAAATTCCTCTCCATTTGTAGTCTGGAGTAGCTGCACGTCACCCCAACACATGTCTCGGTGCTCCTTACAACCGCGAAGACCCAAGTGGATCGTGTTGCCGAACCAAATTGTATTCAGCAGAATCTCAGAAGTCAACGTTCCTAATAATTCTTTGTCATACAGTAACTTTATTTCCTCTTCTGTGAGAGCCACTGAAGCGTTAGGTTTTTTTCCTTTTCCTTTCTTTTTGAGATCCTTTTGTTTTGATTGTAAAGCTTTGCGTGCCTGTTTAAATTTAGCGTCTTTCATAATGCTGAATCCGTAATTCTTCTTCTTTAAATACCGTTCAAAACGGGCCATCAAAGAGCGTAAGGAGCTAGGTTCATAGTCTTCTTTGCTGTCTTTCTTGCGAACCGTAATGATAAACTCACCGATGTATGCATTCAGCTCCCTTGGAGGAATTTCTTTTTGAAGTTTTGACTCGTCCCTTAGCATCAGAAATTCCTTCAGCAAAGCAACATTCTGTTGAGTTTTTCTTTTTTCATGTATTTTTGTTTTCTAAGTCCTCTATAAATTGTTCCACTGAATTAATATCTGCAAACCTTGAAGCCATGATTCTGGAGAAGCCGGAAACGTTGCAAACATTCACTCTCAATTAGTTCGCATGGCCGCCCCAAAAGGCGGGAAAAACCGGTACGATTCTTCATCATCATCATCATCATCATCATCATCATCATCATCATCATCAATCATCATCAATCTTTATTTATACACGAAATCGTATCATTTTACGTGGTCTTCCCAGGAATCGTGTTTAAACTAAACTAAAATGCTCTAAGGAATTATTGGCTATATTATTGAAAATACAAAACTTACATCGTAAATAATAAGGAACTATCAGCTATAATGTTTAAAATACAAAAACTTACATTGCTGGTAATAAAAGTTACAATGGTGTATCAGAAAAATCTTTCCCATGAAATGAAAGTTTAAAAAAATTTAAACTAGGCAGTTTTCTAATCTCTGAGGGAATCCTGTTCCACAGAACAGATCCTCTGTAGTGTAGGCTCCCTTTTGCAGACTCAGTTCTGGGTCTGGGGACATAATAATTTAACTCAGAATTTCTAAGATTGTGTGAATGTACATTTGAGGTGTTGGTAAAGATCCGCCACAGATACGATGGGGAAAGATTATTAAGGATTTTACACATTGTCACAACCAACTGTTTAAGTCTTACATATGCCAGCCTTTCCCAGCCAAGTTCATCCAACAAAACACTTGAGCGAATGTCATAATTAGAAAAGGTGAGAATTCTAGCAGCCCTATTCTGCAGCTTTTGAAGTTTGTTTGCTAGTCTCTTATTGATATTACCCCATACGGCACCATA